AAAAAATACTTCAATCTTCTGCATGAGAAAGCTAACTTCCATTCATATAATAGACTTAAGGTCGCTTTTGTATAAGAATCATTTGCATACACAGGGCCGTACCTCGGACTTTTTTGTCAGTGGGGGCAAACTCCGCTAAACTCCACTGCAGGGGCAAACTCCAATATACCTACAAGAAATAGCCCAGCAAAATCAAACACTATGTTAGAAATTTACTTTTCCTGGCGGAGGCAACTGCGAATGTGCTGCTAGTGCTGATCTTTATTGAACTTTGTGCATTATAAGTAAGCGGTAGGGAAGTAATTAACTTTATTTAACGAAGAAACACTTCTTACAGTCGTAGACTGGTAACCCTGTGGACCTCAACTATATAGTTAAAAAATAAATTACAATAATTTAAAAAGATCTAGCTAAGAATAATAACAAGTACAAAATTGGTAAAATTTGTAAAATTTGATAAAAATCAATAAAAAAAGACTACTTTCTCACTGGTAAATGCAAAAAAGGGTAAAAAACACTGAGAAATTAAAAATGGTCAACATTTGCGTATCTCTTCTTTATATGTTGACTGTATTTCAATGCTTTCACTGAGTGGGTAGAGAGTTGAGAGTGGGGCATCATATGGCGTGATGTGACTATAACGCGTGGATCTAACCTATCTGTCACTCACTTAACCATTTTTCCACTCAATTATTGTATTGCTTGGTCAAAGTCATGCAATTATTAGGATTTTGCTGGCATACTGATACACTATAGGTGTGGAAAAAGGGTCAAAATATCAAGCTTCAACAGCATAGCAGAGAAATACGAGTAGGAATATTAAACAAGTGCAAGGGTATCTAGGAAGGTTATCTGGAGTAGAAATAGCATATTTTTTTATACCATGCCATACAAAAAACTGCCGATCAGAACAGAGAAAAGCCGTTGTATTTTCGACGGTATTCAACTCAACCTTCCCATTGGGCACTGCGATCTTATGTCCCGGCGAGATTTAGTTAGTGTATTTTCTATGGCATGGTATAAAATAGTTAAAGGCAAGTGTGTATATGAAGAAAATACAAGTGACAGGTGGGGTATTCCATGGTCTACCACGAGAAAGTGTTACATAACTAGTATACATAAAGCTCATTAAAGATCAGTGCTAGACACTCTGTACACACTGCAGACCTAATTTTTTTAAAATTTCAGCCAGGGTTTTAGCTTTAATCAATAATTAGTTTATTCTCAAACGGTCGTTAGCATTTTGAAAGTCATAATTCATTGAGTATTTACAAAAACAACGTATTCGCCGCAGTGTCGATGGCTACTTGATGGATATTTAGCTCGCCGCTTCATGGCTCGGTAAATATCACCGCTAGCCACAGACATTGATGTGAATACAGTTGAATCCCGATAACTCGAACCTTCAAGGGAAATCGAAAAAAGTTTGAGATATCGGGAGTTTGAGTTATCGAGGGTAAAATTAGTAAGAAAATGACCTGAAGGGGAATCGAAAAAGGTTCAAGTTGGCGGGAGTTCCAGTTATTGAGGGTTAGAGTTACCGGGATTCAACTGTAGTTGGTAACTGTTACACAGGAAAGAATATCGCTACTTCGTGTACGCTGTCGGGGATGGGAAAACTCAATGGATCTTTGTTAGTATGATGCAATAGTTTGCTGTATATCAGCATTTAATGAAATTTTTAACATTGTAGCATTGTGTCTGTGCATCTCTACACTGAGCCAACATAACTTTCTTTAAACATACAGAAGGTGCAGGAGTGTAGCCAGGAAAAGAGAATACAGGGATTTTTTATACAACAGGGACCAAATGTCGTATTGCCAGCAACAAATGAGCGCAGTTTGATCAGTAAAAATGATCAGTGGTCAAAACAAATAAAAAATCTCTGAGTGGCTTTGTTTCTACTGAAAAGTGTTACCTTTATTCTCTATTTCAAAACAATTGTTAACACACATATCGTTCAGTCCTAGTTGACAAGTTTAGACTGCTAAACCTGAGTCAACTATAAAAATGCACACTCTATAAGCGACTTGGTAATTACTATGTGAGAAGATTTTAACGATACACTTAAAAAACACATTCTTTGAGTTGGGCTCAACAAAAACGACATATTTTTAGAATGAAAAATAATCCCACTTTGTCTTCTTGTAACAATAGTAATCCTTTATGCGACAATCAGACTGATTAACATGCTTATTTTCTTTGAACTCCATTTTATCTCAACACAATTGTCATTAAAAAAAACATTTTCCATTTCATTGATAATGGAATATCACATGCAAGTTCAAAGTCACAGAGCTGGCTGGTTAGTCGAGAATTGGAGGGGTATAATGGCGATAAAGTTTGCCATGATTTGAGTATGATCTCCTCCTCGCCACTGCCGCCACATTCTCTCATCGAGATAGGATTGTAGATCTTTCCTTCTCAACCCCTTTCTTTGTTTTTGCCCAAGTTTAAGCTGATTCCAACAAGACTCCACCTCCTGTGTGTGCAGTCCAGTGCGTGGATCGACGAAATTGTGGGCGTGTACAACAACTCTATGTCTGCGGACATTTGGCAGTTGTAGAAGTCGTCTGTACGCCCCCCAGTCATCTGTATGGATTTCCCTACCAGGCAAGACGCATCTGTTGATGGTGGGCAGAAGGGTGGCCGCGTTTCTTCTATCGACAACCTTGAAGTAACCCCGCGCGGGACTATACTCTGTGGTTACGATGCCAAACACCCACGCGTCACTGGCTGCTCTCCTCCCCCTGTTGTACTGGAATAAACAGTCAAGTTAGGCTTAGACTAGTCCTTGAACTCATCCGCGTGTTAACGCGTTAAATGTTTTTAAAATTTAAGGTGGCTCTGAACCCACAGTACAGAATTTTTTTCAAACTTTGCCAAAGGTTATAGCAACAGTAGAACATGTTAAAACACCCTTAAGTTTCTTTAAGCGAGTTGACTGTATACACAGTACTGAAGACATTTTCTCGGAGCGATTTCATAGCCACCGTAGCCGTTCCAACATTTTGAAAGAAAGTATACCCGACAATCCCGAAAGGTGTCTTTGGCATTCTAAAGGTTTTAGGCATAAAGGGGACACTAGGCGCCACGATCGTATGTTTACAGGTGTTTAAAGCGATAAAAAGCGGTTAATTGATCCCTAATTTACTTTATTTATTGTGTGTTTTCTTTGAATACGGCAGCTATATCACTTTGGTAAATTTGATTAGTACCTTGGCTTTATGATTGAACTTGCTTTCATCGCACTTTATAATAGCTCCGGGTCCTCCAAACGGCAGGAATGATCTGTTTGCTAGATCCACTGAGCACAGATCTTGTAGTCGTCTATAAATGCGAGAAACTAAACTTCGCCTTAAGTTTAGCGTTTCCGCAATTCTACGTTGTGACTCTTCGTGCACGAAGGAAAACATGACGCGAAGTAGAGTTCCTAAAGGGATCTTTGGGAATTCAGCGAAAAAGCTGTTCGTTCGCAAGCTTCGTTTTTTGCGACACCCAGTACATCTCCTGATAAAACAAAAAACACGCTATTAAAAATTGAACTACAATGCGCCAAAAATATAATTTAAGAGAAATACCGACAAGATTTTGTGTGCGTAAAAAAAGACAGGATTTGATTTTTGACCGATTTATTGCAGTTCGCGAGGTTGACCGTGGTATTTTCATTTTCGGTGAGCATCGTGCGGTAATGGATCAATGGATAACGGTTGCAAGTCGCGCGCCTGTGTGGCTGAAAACCCTAGCTGTGACCCCGATTTTTTTCATTTCTGACATGATAATTTCTTAAACTAGCCAGCAGTGGTGAAATTTTAAGAAAAATCACACTGTTAGAAGTTTAACTTGTGAACGACCATTAAGTTAAGATATCGATTGTATTTTTCATGCAGTTCCCTTTTGGAAAGAAAATAAGCGCATTTTAGTCGTTTCCGTGCTCAGTTTTTTACGGCTCCCTTTCCTTTCGCTCCCTCTAGCTGTATCTAAATGTTAGCCCTAGGCTTGAAAGCCCTTGGAATACATAGGAAACTGGGATGGGGCTTATCAGAATTAATTACTGAGTGATACTATTGACTTATGGGAGGCGCAGTCTAACGGCCCGAGTTCCAGCCCTGGCCGGGGCGCTGCATTGTGTTCTTGGTCAAGACACTTAAGAGGAGGTCTTTCTTAACAACACCCACTCAAATTGGCGTCAAAAAATAATTCTGCCTGAAACTCTGTTAACTGAAAGATTTTACCGAGGCTAGAACTAAAACAGATTTGGTTTGATTGAAAATGATTTTCAGGCCGCGTTAGGAGCCATCAAATATTTTGCCCCTTCGGGACCCGCCGCAACGTCTGAAAAATTAGAAAAATAGGCATTTTTCAAGCCGCTGTCAAATATAATTCATTCGCATCGAACACCACAATTTTTATATCAATTTGTTTATAAACATTTCTAGTGTTTCTAGAAAGTAGCAACTTTCCCCTCGATGTATCTGGAAATGCGAAATCAAGGATATACTGTCCACTACTGATCGGCATCGAACGGAGGTTGAAAAATGGCCTTGATTTACCAGCGATAAATCTACTCTACACAGCCGGAAAGTGTAGTCATTGAAAGCGGCTCGAAAAATGCCTTTCAGACCTATCTTAGGTCGAACGCAGTCCACTAGTCTCTGTTTATTTCTAGTTTTAGAAAACATTAGAAAGCAATTGATTGCTACACACCAACACGACTAAACCTGTAAACTGCTCGAACTATGATTGGTAATATTAGCACACGGCTTATGTCACGCGCGTGATTTCTCGCGTTTTATTGTATGATTGTTTCTCATAAGGACTAGGAAAAAAATTCTCTTATTTGGTTGGCTATAACCACGGACGTCTGGATTCTCCCGCCAAAAAAAAAAAACTTTCGACTAACGAGTAGTTCCCTAGAAATCGCGCCTTTCTCGTAGGACAGTAAAACGCCCGATCGCATATTTTTCATCAACTGTGCACACAAAGAATTTAACTTTTGCTTTCTCTCAGCATTGAATCTAAAGAGCGTACGGAAACTGTATTCAGCCACAAACGAAAACGCCAAAAATTTCGACGAGAAAAAAAAGTAAAAGAACACATGCAGTCAAAATATATAGCTAGAGATCAGAGAGATGAAATTGCAAGGCCATAATTTAATGGCAGTCGAAATCAATTAAAAGGACTTAAACTCTTGTAAAAATACTGTTGGTTTAAGAGAAGGGAGAAATAGCAAACATTCTTATACCGGGGGCAAATTTAAATTTTCTTATTTATTATTTTTTTTTTGATTGATTGATTGACCATATAATAAGCATCTTACTAACAAGCTAAGTCGGTCTGTTTCTCCCATACAGACCTCCTTCTCTCGTCACGAGTTTGAACGCGCGTACCAGTTCAACATTTTATAAAATTAATATATTCTTCGTCCTGTATTGCTGAGTTAGATATGAGCACGCGGAAATTTTAGAGAATACTCGAGAAGTGCGAGAAGCACTCGGATGCGCCTCGTGTTTCACTGTTGTCTCTCTATGCACTTCTTTCGTTGTTATAAAAATTCCCGCCAGCTTTTATTACTCAACAATGCACTCGGGTGTGTTTTTATTTCTTTAATAGAACATGGAAAACCATCTTCGTTTAGGTAATTACAAAAAGGGTTGGATCAGACAAACACTGATGCAGTAGTCTGTACTCACCAAAGAAATCCGTCCACATGGTGGTCATTTCTCTCGGTTAGTTCCATCGTGATATTACATTGCGCACACCGAAGAGGATCTGCTATCAAACGCCGCCTTTGGAGCCATCGAACCAAAGCTGAACGTGGTCCCCTTTCCAAATCGATAAATAAATTTAAATTCATGTCGTATTGGTAAGCATGAATTTCCACCGCTTACCAAAAGCGGATTTTGCGACTCTTAGGTTGATGCGTCCAGTAGGTTTATCGAGCTACAACCGTTATCCGAATCACTGTCTCACCTCAGCTCTTTTGTGATGCATATTTCACTCCCATTCAAAGAAGTCGGAAAGTTTTATTTGATATTGCCGAATTGATTACCCTTTTGGGCGTACATGACTAGACAAAAGTCATTGTTTGCCTTCGATTTTTTTGATTTACTTAAACTAACTAATGGTATTGTTATGGCCTTATATTGTCCAGCATTTAAAAAGTAAAGAACGCTCCACGCGCCTAGAAATAACTTTTTAAAATACTCGCCCAATACATTCATGCTTCATCTTGTGATTTCCGTTCTGTTTATTTTGGGTACATTAAACATAAACTCTCCGTATACCTCCCAATTAACCCATTGCGATAGTAGAAAACTGTCATAGTGCCCGAGAATATACTGCTAGCCTGCAGAACTAATTATTTTTCTCTCGCGCTTCGCGCGACCTCGCAATTACCCCTCCAAAAATAAACCGCCTGTTCTGCGGGCTAATATACTGCTATCAAGGACCATCAAGCGGTCTTTTTTTCTTCTTTCCTATTACCGCGAAAATAGACAAAAAAAGCGCCTAGCTAACACCTCTTCCTTTCGTTAAAAATTAACCACCTCCCAGTTTTATTATATTGCGCTCCGTTTGTCAGAAAAATAATGGTCGTATATGATCTCAGGTTGTGCTAGTCTACACGTAGTAAGATTTATGACACACCTAAATAAACTTGCACACATAATTTGGAGCTGGTTTGACAATGTCTAATGTAGCCAAAAAATTAAAATGTTTGTTTCTGAGGTTTGTAGGTCTAGTAGCCTTCCACAAAATTTCATATCTGAAGATGTGTTTTCCAGTAATAATATTCAGCTTCCTTCTTGTATCTTAAAGACAGCCAACAAGGTGACAACGTGACGTTGACACAGGGCCAGAGGGGCCATCGTCCCTGTCACCGCAACTGATACCCAGGGCACCAATTCCGTCCCTGTCGTCACAACTTCTGTCCAGGCCACCAATCTCAATGTCGTCCCTGCTGTTACAACTGCTCCCCAGGCTACTAATGTCACCGTTGTCACTGCAACTTCTACCCAGGCAGCCAATGTCCTCTCTGTCGCCACAATGTCTGCCCAGGCCACTAATGTTGTAACTGTTGTCACAACTTCTGCCCAGGCCACCAATTCAACGCTTACATCAGCCTCTACATCAACTACTGCAGTATCAGTTCCTGCCCCTTTAGCCAGCACGCCTGCCCAGGATGACTCAACACCTAGAAGAAGTAAGTGCAATGCTTTAAAACAAAATAATACTAAGACACTTTACTTGGATCACAAACAACAAAGGTTAATAAAAAGAGAATTGAATCACTACTAACTATAGTCCCCGTGTATCCAATCGAACGTTCGGTAATCGAACCCAATCGAACACCAATCATTTGGTTGGGTTCGGTAATCGAACATAATCGAACTCACAATAAACTTTGGTCAGTCGAAAAAAATCGAACGTTCGATTACCAAACAATAGAGAATCGAACAAAAAACGAACGTTCGATTACCGAACGGTCGACAATCCAACGTTCAATTACCGAACTCCTGTTTGTTTATATTGCCGACATTTTGTACGGTGCACTGTCCCTAAGGGTTAGTCCTGCGTGATTTACTTATCAAAAGACGGATTCCAAACCAAATCGAATCAGATTAAATTGGATTGCGATCGATTATGTTCGATTGTTTCGATTGGTTCGGAAATTGAACTCAAAGCAAAATAAATGTTTGATTGTGTTCGATTGGATACGCCGGGCTACAGTGGAATCATTAATGTGACACGTAGCAGTTAACAACTATTCACCAAAGTGAAGGTGGCTAGTGTTTGATATTTACCAAGCCAAATATCCACCACTAGCCACCGACACTGAGGTGAATAGTTGTTTTAATATATACTAAAACAGTGAGATAATATTACCCGAAAGCATGATTTTTGACTAATTTATTCCTGCAACGATTACATTTTTCTCGCGCGCGTTGCTCGGAAGTGAATAGCAAAGGATATTCGGAGTTTGAGTAGCCAATCAGTGCGCGCCATAAACGCTTTTTCCTAAGACACCCCAACCCCTCTGGAAGTTTCAATTAGTATTAAGCTTTATACTTTTCCTCCTAGTTCTTTATCTTTGAACCCCTTCTACCCCAGGGAATTTCCATCCCCTTCTTATGGGGACATTTTAACATTTCCTGGACCTACACATTGCCCTGAAAAGAACACCGATTAACTCCTGTCTACTCTTATAATGTTATTTTTTCTTTAAAAAACAGATTTAGTGCAACTGGACACAAGCATGAGTATGGATGACACAGATGGTAAGTACTCTTTTACTTTGGAAAACAAGAAGACATAATTAAATTGTTCAACAACCCTCAGTTTCGCAAAATACCTGATTTCCTTGGCCAATTTTTAGTTTCCTTTGGATAGTATCTTATAATTAGTAATTTTAACCCCAAATTTTCAATACTTCTTAAGTCACTACAATGCAAACTTTTCAGTGATCATATGTTTAAAATGTGCCATCCTAAAAATTTTGTCTATTTTTTTTAGTGTAAAATTTGCTAGAACTCTTTCCACGATGTTGTTTACCATTTTTGCAAACAGGGGTTCCTGAATCTGTGAAAACGGGGTACCAATACATTTGAAATTAAATTACATCAAGCTGTGCCTTGAATAATTTTTTTTGAGCTGTGGACCAATCACAAGTCATTTTATATATTTATGATAAACGTATGATGTCACATAAATTATTCTAGCCTTTTTATGGTGGATTTTTACATTGTAGGCTTGAGAAACAGGATTTAACTGTATAATCTTACACTGTATGTAACTAGCAGGGGAAAAAAATTGCATTGTTTTCTGAAACCCCACAGATACTGATCTATTACAGAGCCCTTTCACAGTCGATGATGATATAGAGATAGTTAACACTGTGCAAGGTACAACATGTAAGATCCACTCTGTATCTATGTCAATAATTTAAGACTTAAGAAAGTTAGGAGACCTTATAATATCACTTAGCATTTATTATGCACTGTGCAGACATTTTATAATGTACTATGTAATTAGGCAACAACTGTAATTATAGAACTTTTATCCGTCTTGATTTGGTGTATTAAATCATTATATAATAGTTTTTTCCTTATGATATAGTCATGAATGCTTTTAAGTTTGATTTTTTACCAAATTAATGTACATAACACAAACAATTCAGCTTATAGCTGCTAGTTGTGATTTTGAATAAACAATTTATCTATTTAAGTGCCAATACGAAGACCGTTCATCAGACGTGGGAGGCAACCATCATCTACCTGTACTACCTCAGGTAAAATTCTAAAGATCTCAAAATTAACTTTTAAATTAGTTATTGGCTTTGTTTTCACTCATACATTAGATTTAACACAGTACAGCCATTGTAATCTCAATAATTAATGTTCTGTTTCACACACAGGGATAAGTGGTGAACCTTTTCATGGAGATGGTATAAATGGTAAGTATATCTTTCATATTTTCTTCATTCAGTTAAGACCAGGTAATTTTTCTGTGATTTAAATCTGTTTTATTGAGTTCTCTCTAATGTCATAGTAATATCTTGGGTCAAGTCATGTTAATATTATGTCTTTCTTCTTTTCTTCTACAGTTATGACATTTACAATGGACATGTCTCCACATGGCTTAGGAGGTACTTAACATAGCAACAACAGCAAACCTTAATAAAATCTTTGCAGACACAAGAGATTTTTTTTTTCAAAAAACAATTAAAATACATGTAATGTAAGAGTACTTACACTTGTTACCAATGGGGTTTGTGAAACCAGGCAGTCAGCTGATGTCAGGGATGTGTTGTAATTCTTTCTGAATCCTCGAAAAGCAGTCGTATACAGTCTGTGAGTATAAAAGAAATAATAATTATTATAGTAATACAACTAAAAATTAACAATTACAGTACTAGATAAGGCACAGTATGATGCGCACAAAGAATTAAGCAGATGGAAGAGGTCCCCCTGCCTTACTTCCCCTGAGAACTGCGTAAAAATTATTCATCTTATAATAGGAAAGCTGAAATCAATTATTGTAATGTACTGTGTTATTCATTCAAACTTATTCGTAGAGCTCAAATTGCCGAAAATTTACTTTTGAAGTTTTGAACAGTTGGCGAAGTTCACAATATGTAATACAATTTTTTAAAATTTGATGTACTTCCATCAATGTTCTTACTTTCTTTGACATAATCAAAATTATCGTATGACCATTTCAAGGCGGCCACTGTGGCTAATTAGTCAACTCCGTTTCATTGCTTCTTTTGGGTTTTAAATATGTGACGTTCAACTCTTACGGCCATTTATGCATGTGGAACACGCTCGCCAGCAAAGTCCATGTTGCATGACATCAACTGAATGAGGTTGCAATCTGTAAATCATTCTTGGGGACAAGATTGCACCAGTATATTTAAAATGTAGGGCAATTGATAACCTCAATCATCATAAATGTGACCTTCCAAATAATACAAAATAATAATAATAATTCATAAAAAGTTGTATTTAAAGATGAATCAAGTTCATATTATTTAATCATTAATAATTAACAGCAAAAGAAATCGGCTTTCTATACTATAATAATTATTGTTTTGTATCACCTTTTTCAATAATATACATTGTAATGTTTACTTGGAGGGGTATCCAGCAGAGAGTGTCGAGTGAATGAAGTGTGCAGATGCGAATCTGCTGTTCAGGCATCCTGTGTCAACGTGCAGGAACCGATTCCGCCATTTTTAAATCACACTTTTGAAGAGGTCAGGACTAATGTTAGCACTGATACTGTATTTAACAAATACCATTCATAACTTGTTCTTGTTCTTGATTTACAAACAGCTATGCTGGCAGGCTCGCGAGGAGAAAAAACCAGTAGTGGTACTTTTACTGTGTCCCAATGCAAGTTTACATGGAAAATTAAACGAAGCTACATTGAGGTTTGCATGTACATTATCTAGTATTATAGTATTTGCTATTTTAATCAGATTTTTTATTGCAAACTAATACACCTTAGTTTAATTTTAAATCAATGGCATGATTTGTCCAAATTTTTCCATGCCACTTTCTAATAAATTTGCAGTTGGGGAGGGGAGGAAAGATGTTTTTGGAGGACTGCTAAAGGAAACAGAAATTCACTTTATTTCACTTTATCCAAGTCACCATACCACTTAACATAAATCCACAAGTTAGCTGTTACAAGTCCATTATCTGGACTATATTCGGACTGTTATTAGACATTAAACTATATCCTGTTTGGATACTTGGATGAAGATGTAAATTTTGGTCTAATAGACTATCATGTGCATCAATATGAATTGAAGAAGATTTTCCTCGAGAAAAAAATATTTGGCTATGACTTCATGAGGAAGATTTAAAGAAAGTTATGTACTGTTTATAATGTACCTTTTAACACTAACTCAGATGTTATTAATTTCTAAAGGGTTTTTCAGAGGGTACTTGAACAATGCAAAGAAGGTTGGCTCTTTTGGACTGCTGAAACAACTTCTAAAGATGGCCAAAAAGGTTGGTTAAACTTAAACATGCATGGTTTTCATGAAATTTCCTAAAACCCTTTTAACAGTTCCATAGTAAGTTCTGTTTGTTACACTACCTTTTACCCTGCCCTACTAATTTCACTTTGTTTTTTTAAATAAACAGCACTCAAATTATATGGAAACCAAGCAAATGATGTGGACCAGTTGATATTTTTAACTCCATCAGCTGGACAAAATCGAAAGGTGACAGCATTTTTGACATTGAAATCACCATCATTTTGTTACCTGATAAATAATTCTCTTCATTTTTTAAAGAATAACAGCTTCATCTGTAACCCTATTGTTTATTTCTTAATCAATTCCAGCATCAGATATCGAGGATGATGAGTGGCCATCCCACTCAACAACCAGCATATGTGAGCGAGCAACCTTTCTCATTGAATTGCTTGCATTAGAAAGGTACACAGATTGTTTTCTCGATTTGATACAACACTTAACAGTATTCAACAAACACTCCATATCTTAACAACACTTATTTCACTTATAATTTAAAAGAAAAATTTGGTGTAAATTTTTCTATGAAGAGTAAAACTTGCAAGATGGCGAGCAGAGAGGCAGGAACAAGAGAGCCAGCTTGCCAAGTGTGTGATAACTAACTGGCCATTGGATAGAGTGAGTATTCAGACGACAGATGATACCAGACAATTAAGACAAACATTAATTTTTATGTAGTGGAGTTAAAACACATTGAAATATATAATATATTAAGTATGCTATACTTTAAAAAATAATATAAACTCAAATACTGACTGCTTGAATCAACACTGTATGTAACAGGTGCGATCACCTGGACTCATTAAAGTATCTTTCAATGGAATGTAAGTGATGCCTTCAAATAAGCAATGTTCTTTTCCGGCAGAACTTGATTCTCTCTGGTTTTATTCACACGTCCAACTTCTTCAAATTACCACAGTGTTAACCTATCCAAACTCCGCCATGACATTTTTATTCTACGAGGGGCTCTGGGAGCAAGAGTACCAGTCTTTCTCGGTTTCTTGGTTGTCGTCCGACTCTGTACCAGTCCTTTAAGTTTTGGGTGATACAAGCTCAATGTATTTTTTTGTTACTTTTAAAGTTTATGTTCGATTAGATTAAACAACTGTTTTCAAGCTCGATGAAAAGCAATCAAGTCGATAAAAAGTAAATGAGTCGACAAAAAGTATTCGAGCTGGATGTAAAAGTAATTGAGCTGGATGTAATTGCATCGTGCACTAATTAGGTTTTCGTACTCAACCTGATTTTATCGTGGTCGGTTGCCCAGAAAAGAAAAATTGATCCGCGGAGGCTGGTGGAAAATTGATAGAAGCTTTTCTACTCTTCCTGAAATTGATGAGGATAGGAGTGCATCTATTGGAATCTGCTCTATTTTTGAGGATGACATTATTAGCCTTGATATTATTGTGCAGGAAACCTCTTGAATGGACATGCTTTAATGCAGAGCAAATCTCAACAAAGATATCAAGGCATTCTGAAGATGTGATAACATTTGAGATCGCAGCATGATGAAGGGTGCCACTTATGCCATTTATACCATGGAACTGTGTGACGAGACAAAGTGGCTCTTGTGTAGTGACGACACCTACAATCACAGGTGGTCTTTCATGGTCACCAAGTGCAGTAATCACCTCTGCCTCGTGCATTAAATCAATCCCTTTTTGCCCTCAGCTTGTCCTCTGCAGTACTGCTGTAAATCATCCTCTTTACGACTACGTCAATTCCCCTGTAACGGGCATGATAGCACTGACCGTAGCTTCCACTGCCAATACTTTCTTGATTCAGATAATTAATATGTTCAGGATTTAGTTCTTTTAGTTCTCATTTCATCTCCTTCACAACAAGCCGTTTCTTGACTTTAGGTATTGAGGGCCTTGACAGACCAGGCAATAGTTGTTGTGTTTGAACGTGTGATACACCCTTGTCAGCCTTGTGTGGACTGTGTCGGGTTTCGGGTCGTTTGAACTGAGAGATACTATTCACCGATTTTTTCTGGGACTTTCCTTGAGCCAGGTGCAACATCAACACACTTCTCGAGTGCCAGGATTCCGTTTTTCCTGGAACTTTTTTCGTATTATTCAGTTCCGTGTTGACCATGGGTGAAATAATTCGATTCAGTACAATTCGAGAGGATGAAGCTGCCTTCGACTGAGCAACTACAGGCGTTTCCTCGTTGTCATTTGGAATCACATGATCACCTTGAGTCAAAGGTGATTTAACCTTTGCCTTTCACCTCACGCTTTCTCTTTTTCCACTCCCTTTGGTTTTTTTGTTTCTCTTCTGTTGTATGCTCATGCGATTTAACTATTTGATTTTCCGTTGACCAGTGTCTGTAGTGTCCATTGCTAAACAACTGCTAGCTACCGCTGAGTAATTTCCACGGCATGCTAACTTGAAACCTGTGACACCTTCAGATATGGTATTCATAAGTAATTCGTAAGTCACATTTCTAAACAAATGCATATTTTCACAGGATGTTCATTGTGTCGAATGTCTGCTGTTCTGCGCCATTTACTTGCGGGAGATTACAGATCTAGACATGAGAACAGATGAGTGTTTGTTGTTGCTGCTCCGAGATACGTGCTGAAATATCTAAAGTAACCCTGTCTTTTGCTCAGGCGCCTCAAATGATAAGAGAGTTGTTCATCGTTGCTGCAAGATACACACCAAAAAACGTTTTGCAATCTCACGCAAATGATAAGAGAGTTGTTAATTGTTGCTGTGAAACTTTTGCGAGCACACGAGAAATGAAAACACAGTTACTTGGTGTTACCGCCAAATACATGCACTGTGTGTTTTGTTGCTTGTCACTTTGTTACTGGGGAGTAGCAGAACGAGTCCCAATGCGAAAGTTAAGCCGACTCAACAAACCACCATTACACAGAATCTAGGTTTAAAAACTCTCAAGGGAAATGAAGAATAGTTCGAAATTGGAGGAATCCGAAATAGCTGATATTAAATGACTGAAGAACAAATCCAATGGATATGGTTTTGAGTTGTGGCTACCTGATAATTGGGGAATTCGAAATGGGGTCTGACAGTAGAAACGTGCGGTGCACTATATTAATACTGGAAATCAACAATGATTGAAAATTTGAAGGTGAATTAATCAATGTGACGCGAGCGTGGGACAAAGAAAAATTCTGAGTCCCCGACAGGAATCGAACCCATGACCTCCCGAACACC